GCTGACTTTCCCATGGAAATGCACCTTTTAATTTCCTGGCTGCTGGTGCCAAAACTGTTGACTGTGGAGCCAAGCAAATTAAAGCAGTGAACAGTACCCTAAAGAAACCAGAACCGCTGTTCTAACAGATAAATGCACAACCATATTTATTGCTGCATTATTTACAATAGCAAAAGAGATGGAAGCAACTCAAGTGCCTATCAACCAACGAATAGTATAAAATATGATTGAATACTCTGCAGCCCTGAAAAACAACTCATAAAACAATATGCAACATCGTTGATGCTGGAAAACATCATGCTAAGTGAAATATCTGTCACAAAAAGACAAATACTGCATAGAACCACTGTTTTAAAACCGGTCTGATTTGGGGGGTTAGGAGGAGAATACATTAAGAATGGATAAATAAAATGAACATAGCATTGGAATATTAAAGGAAATAACTGTTTAAAAGGAATATATGATTGGGCTTTATATGCATGAAAGCAGCTCAGAATAAGGGATACATTGCAAAGAAGAACTGAGGGATGGGGGTGAGGGAATTGTGCAACTATTAATGAACTGTTTGTTTTTTTTCTTGCTCTCTATAAACCTTCATTAAAATCACTGTTAAAAAAATAAAAAAATTTACATTGGCACTAAGGTTACATCAGTGAGCTAAGATGGAACAGTGATTATAAGGAGCATGTTGAGCTGCCAGGGCAGTGTTTTATCCTGTTGTACGCAGAGTTTATAATTGACTCAGCATCAAGTAACATGAAGAAGGATATATGACACAATTAATTTGAATTAGATAGTTGGAGTAAAACCCTACAAGTTCAAAGAGTAAATAAATATGAGCAGAACTTAAATCTTATTAAGTTAGCCAGCATAAATGTTATTTAAATCTATTAATTTATGGTCAAGTTAAAAAGATCAAGCTCCTCTAAAAATAAACACATTATGCAATGAGTCATTAATAGGGCACTAAATCTGTATCTATGTCTACTTCTCTATCTTCATCCATGAAAACAATTTTTTTATAACATTCATGTCCTACTGAGACCATGCAATAGAACCTGTTGGTAGGGAAAGTAGAATCTGGAGCTCGGCCAGAAAAAAAAAAAAAAAAGCAAAGCAGATTTGAACTGGTTTCTCTATGTGCCTGGATTCCCCTCTCCTATGTTGATAAAAACCTGCCAGGTCCTGGCTTTCAGAGATGGTTTAGTCATGCATGTGCATCCCATCTGTTGGCTGCATAAGGGATTTCCTTCTCAGCTCAGCCCTTCAAGTACAAAACACAGCAACATGCGTGTGCGTGCGTGCGTGCTCGTTTTTTCCTGCTCTACCTTTTACGTCTTCCTCTTAACTCCTGATATTGTACAGGCTCTGTATGCCAGGTGCCGTTTTATCCTGGGGAATTCCTTACAGATACACGGTGTGAGTCACATTTATAGTTGGATGTTTGTTAGCTATTCAACATATTGCTTCTTGTTGTTGCTAAGTGCCTCTAGTTGTAGACAACTCATAGCCACCCTATGAACAAAAGACCTGAATACTTGTATAACAATCATTTCTCCTTCCATCATTTCTTCATAGGGTTTCTGGAGGCAAGCTATTTTGGCGGTGGATGCCCCTCTTGCTTCCAAGCTTGTTTTAATCTGGGAGCTCCACCAAACACTGTCCACCATGGGTAACCATTATCACATTTAACACATCAGTGTCACAGTGTTTAGCATCACAGCAACCATGATTTACCACTGTACAGCAAATGGGACAGACCAGTGCTATACCACTTAGAAGAATGTTTGATTGAAAACAAAACCTGACCTGAAGGCCTCAGATTAATTCACCCACCCTTGGCTTGGTAGCATAACTTTTTATCCACTAGGCCAACTGAGCTCTATTTTGTTGTTGTTGAATGTATTGCTAAATTTATTCAGTATTTTAAATAAATAAATACATTTTATAACTTTAGTTAATGCTTTTGAAGACCTTAATGATATTCTACTCTTGTGGTTGTGAAATGCTTCTCAAGTTCCCTGTGCTACTCAGATGAAATTTAGACAAATCATCATTCACTTTCTTTCAATCTCTTTCCAAAACTCTGCTCCAACATGTGTGCAATGCTTTAGTAGCCTGAGTGATTGTAGAGGGAAACAACAGTAGGACGTCTTTTTAAATATGTTATCTAATGTGTTTCCTTCACTGCTCTCTATGTTCATCACATATGTCCTCCTGATTGGACTCCCCTTGGTCACTATTTCCTTCATAATAATCCATCTTCATATTAAAAACTCTTATAGCAGTTTATACCAGGCACATAGGTTGAGGTTATAACTCCAGCCCACAAATGGACACATCACCCATCTGCTACAAGATGTTTTGCAACATGACTTAAATTTTGATGAGTTGATGATCTTAATTTAAGAAAAATTTATGATTATAGATACATTTATTTTCCCCTGCCACACCAGTAGTCAAAAAAGTTCGAGATGAATAAAGAGTCATTCTTTCTCATTACTTATGTATAGTTTTAAAAACATTGTCTTGGTAACTTTAGAAATAAATAACTATTGTTCTCACTAGTGTCTTTTCCTCTTACAGATTTATGAGAAATACCAAGATTTGTATACTGTAGAACCAAATAATGCACGTCAGCTGGTGGAAATTGCAGCCAGGGATATTGAGAAACTTCTAAGCAACAGATCTAAGGCCCTTGTGGTGAGTAGAGGATGGGATTTGTTCACTTTATTATTTTATGTTTCTTGTCTATGAATCTTCCCCCATTGTTAGAGGTTTACTTTGCTATGCTTTTAGGTTGGCACCTGGTTTTGCCTTTTGTGTTCATAAAAGAACATACTCTACTGGTTTCCTTGTGAAGCCCAGATAATTAATTTCTAACTATGAGTTCATTTGAATATTATCAGGGAAAATTATAAATAAGAATAGTGCATATAATTGATTCATGTATATATGTATACATATCAAAGTTCTTCTGTATACCAGCGACATGACCATGCTTACATCTATCATACGATACGAAGTCCAGAATATTGTTAATACCATTAGGTGCTTGTGTATTAAGTTCTTACTTATTCCATCGTTCAACCTCCATGCCAGAGCTGGCCAACAGTACTTTGCATTTGATTATTTCCTTGGTTTGTCCTTTGCCCTAAAAGATTTGTTAGGTTTTTTTTTTTTTTATCTTTAAGCTTCATTATCTCTGTTTATTACTTCAATACATTGTAATTCTCAATAAAAATTATACTTTTTTTCTCCTACTAG